GGATCAGTAAGCGAACCGCCACTTTCTTTAACACGGCTTTTTTCCCGTCCAGGTAGGCCAGCTAGCGTTAACAGATTTTTTTTGGCTTCTCTTAGCTACCGCCGAAGCGGTATTTCCAGCACCAACTACGAGGAAGTGGAAGCCTTCTGGTGCCAAAAATGTTTTTATGATGAGCGCCCCGACCGGGCGATAACGTGAGCGTGTTCTCGCACGACCCAGGAGAAAAGTGCTCAGTCGATCACAACAACAACAAAGATGACGACTGCGTCTAAAGAATATTCTAATCTGTCTGAGTATCTGAAGAACACCCCTAGGGCAAGGGCAAGGTGGCTCTAGAGCACGCAAATGCAGATGCTGAAAGGGCAAAAACCCTCATAAGGACCCAGAATTTTAGGGGTATGCCCGCCCCGTGTATTGGTGTATTGTTTTGTTTTTGGCTCCTCTTAGCTACCGCCGAAGCGGCATTTCCAGCACCAACTACGAGGAAGTGGAAGCCATCTGGTGCCATATTTTTTTTTAAGGTGAGCGCCCCGACCTCGCACTCACCGGTGATAGCCAACCACATATTGCTATCTCCCTTTTTTTTTAACAGTATTCCTAAACAAGCTTTTTTACAATAACAATACAATAATATAAAAGTGCAAAAACAAATATACAAAATCATGAAGCAACATCGTCGTCGTCAACCACGTCTTCTTCTTGCAGTAAGTCATTCAGACGATCTTCTGGTTTCTCCTGCAACAAAGAAATACATTTAACAAACGCACTCACAAACTATCGCTGACAGCCGCCCCCTTAGAGACACTTACCCACACTGGAAATGCAAGTGTGTGAATGTCGCTCACCTGCAGGTGAGCGACATTCCATTCGTACACTTAGGGGGGTAAACGTGTGAATATTCTAGGAAAAATTCACACCTTTACCCCCCTAAGCGTACGAATGGAATGTCGCTCACCTGCAGGTGAGCGACATTCGCACACTTGCATTTCCAGTGCAGTCGAGTTGGAAGCATTGGGACATGTCATAGACTAGCATGGCATCGCTTTCTGTTTTTGCATGGCCTACCCCAACGTTAGAGAGGACATTGCCCACAATGTTTTCCATCTTCTTCCTGTCCCCGTTGGCATCCAGAAGTTGGTCAACAATAGACGGTATGAAGAAGGGGCCTCGCATGCCACGGAAGTTTTGAGCCTTTAAGAAATTCAGCGCTCTGACCACGTCTACATTTTTATGCGCCTCACCACACTTCCCCGTCTTTGGAGGCTTCTTAATATGGTCCACAAGTTTGGATTGTTTGGTATTACATATCGGACACCAATGAGAGAGGTCCTTTCCGGTGACGCTTCGATTCATAACTCGGAACTAAAATTAGAAGATTCCAATGAGGATGTGAGGCGCAAGAGAAAACTCTTTTACCGAGCAAGCAAATATTTACCCCGGCCTTTCTGGTCTCCTTGATGGCGAAGGCTACGTCGTCCAGCTTGGCTGCCTCCTTTTTCTGTGCAAGTTGGGCTTTCTTCTTCTGTACCATCTCGTTCAGGTCAAAGACCACGTGTGCCTTCATATTATCAGTCACCTTGAACTCAACCACACTGTGGTCACTAGTGCTGGCAAGCGACGCAGAAGAAACACAAGAAGATGCAACACTAAAAGCAGGAGACGCTGGCGATGCCGGCGATACTTCGTGCATTTCAGGGGTCAAGGTGCTGCAGCCCGGAGAGGCTGGGCTGGGCTCACGTCTTGTGGTAGGCGGGAGGCGGAGAGAAGGCATGGAGAGTATGGCATCTGCGCTTGCCGGTCTTCTAAACGGATCAGGCTGGTCCTGTGTGTCCTTCTTTTGGGCGAATGTTGTACGACCTTCTTTTTGACTACGAAGCATGGCCGCCTGCCTCTTCTGTAGTGACTCGTTTCTTGCGTCTCCTACTTTTCTTTTCTTGGCCTCATGCATTTGTGCAGAATCCAGGTTTGGGGACGCCTTCCTCCTACCCCCTCCTACCCGTCTTGGTGTAACCTCTGGCCTCCGAGGTCCCGGAACCACTGCCTGAATGTCGTCAATAAAATGATGTGACCGCTGCCACCTTGACTTTGGGATGGCTGGCTTTCTTGGTGTCTGTGGCAGTACCAGGACTTCAAATCCATCCCTGTCCCAGATTGTAGGTCCCATTGAGCCATAACCTTCAAAAGAAGACTAAGTTAGTGAACCAAAACGACCAACCAAAACGGCCAATCGTGGAGATGCATGTGATAAAATAACCGTACCCTGGTCTCCATCGTCCTCGTCTGACAAACGGAGGTCGTCAGACAGGTCACGCAGAGATGGTGCGGATTTTGTACGGGTTCTTCTCCCGGGGGTGCACCAAACCCAATCACTGACGATTTGTTTTTCCGGGAAGCCGAACCACTTTCTTACTTCGTGTCGAGCTACGGGATTCAAAATAGGCAGTTGGCAAAAAACTTACATCACAAAAAGAGAAGACAGAAAATGATGTTGCCTGTACCGTATATATCGCTCGCAGAAGACCGGGGTAGCAACTCTTTGAATTCCATAGTTCGCCAACACACGCCAAGTTCCAACTCAGCTAAAACGCCTCCACGCAAACGCGACAATATCAGATCAGATCTGCGCAAAAGAAAAAGAAATACCGTAACTCAACATCTAAACAGGTTCTTCAGCCTGTGCAAAAGAAAGTCGCAGCCCCTGTGCTCCAACCAACGCACCAGGGCGTGAAAGCCAACCCAAAGCTTGCTTTCCCCGCAGAACTAACTGGCGGAGTGGCGTGGC